TCCGGCCGTGTCGGAGACTGAAGAGGCTTCGCCGTCGGTTTCACCGTCTTCTGCCAGCGGCCAGCCCGACACGGGAGTTGGTGCATCGGAGTCAGGTGCTGCTGGGCCAGCTCTGGTGCCCCTGGTGCTTCTGGTGCTCCTGGTGCCTCTGGAAACGAGTCTGGCGTGCCCAGCACAACTTCAGGGGTTGCAACAGTACCGACGAACACGGATGGCGAACCGATTACGGTTCCCACTGCCGCGGCGAACCGCCTAGGTAGTGGTGCCCTTGCGGCAGCTGTGCCTTTTGTGGTGATGATGCTTGTTTGATCGGATCGCATATTTTTCTTCTCACTTTGAATACCCCTTTATTTTCGACGTAATACTTCACGACCCTTCCTTATTGATAACGACCTCGACAGCGACACGACCAGTGATTTCACACACTCTTTTGACACGGCGGGTTCATGGATATATGAATGAAAGGGAAATATGATACCCCTTATGCACTCTTTTGGAAACGGAAACATGATGAATCTGTCGGCGCGCTGTTTGAGGCTTTCGGACCCGCCCCAATGCTTGGAAAGCTTGCCTTGGGCTCGGTCCAGGTTTCAGGATTGTTTTGGACCACGGAAAACCTTTATGCTTGGATAGAACTGAATTTCCTTGCCAGGTGATAGCCCTGGCTTAGTGCCCTGATTTAATGGAGATGATTGACAATGATAATGCCCGCAATGATCACACGCGGCTTCGAGGAGGTGTGGTGAAAGCGAGGATTTTCTGTCCTAGCAACTCGGCATTGAGCACTCACGTTCGGGCTTTTCCCGTTCTCTGTCTTGCTGAGAGGCTGCCAACAAAGTAAATTAGACGACAACACATGTTCGAGTTGATCCTAGACCGAATCCGTCGGATTCATCCAGGATCATGCTCTGTTGGTAGTCAATCACAAAGACCAACAACAAAGCCCCAACATTGACAGTCGAGCTGGCCGCTCGGAGAAGGCGCCACGAACCACGAGGTGCTTCATATCCTTTGTTGTACCCAGTGTCTGCGTCTGGATGACAAGTCCGAGGAATGGAGCTGTGGCAGATGCTACAGACTTCTTTATAGAAGCTTGCTCGCTGTGAAAGCGTCTCATGTCTGATCGTCTGCTTATGGCTCACAGTTGGAATCAAAAACTCAGAAGTACAAGAGTCGTTCCACTGTTGTCGCTTGATCAATTCACGAAAGTGACCATTACCGACAGTAGACGCAGACACCTTATAGGAACATTACAGAACTCGGCCGATTGAATAGCCCACCATGGCCCACAAGTCTTTGGCAAGAATACTTCCAGATCGCGATCTGGAATCCGCCTACGCTAGCTACGACAAGAACGACAGAGTCCAGTTGGGCAAGACGGCCACAACCATTCCCAACGACGGACGCCAGATTCACCGACCCGAGAGAAAGGATGAGAGCCGCCGCAAAAAGAGCAGCAGCGGTGGCCAACCCGTCGACAGCCAGGACATCACCACCACCACCGGCGAGGCCCAGCTGACGGGGCGGACAGTACCCCGCGCCTACCCACCTTGCGACGCCTGCGTCACGCGCGGCCGGAGCTGCTCGCAGTACCGGCCCTGCGCATCGTGCCACGGCGCCGGCGACACGTGCAGCGACTCGCGCGCCCTGCACGCGCTCGGCAACCTCGAGCCACCGGGCCGAAAGCGCAAGCTCGGCGGCCTCACGGACGAGCAGGGCCGACCCATCAAGCGCGGCCGCATGGAAGTCCTCAAGGATCCCTGTGCGTCGTGCGCCGCGGCGGGCACCGCGGTGCCGTGCGATGCCGACCACAGGCTGCGCATCGAGTGCACGGCGTGCGCCGACGTGCGCGCCGTCCGCGATCCGGACCACAAGTGCGTCGTCGCCGAGACGGCCGTGTACATGCCCAAACGCAGCCGGTGGACGCGCGCCCCATATAGCAACATAGCGCAGGTCGTGCATTGGGGGTGCGAGGGGTGTCGCGGACGGTCGTACCGGTGGTGCGATGTCGACCCGCGCGTTGAAGTCGGCTGCACCGAGTGCGCCGTGCGCGGCCACGAGTGCCGCTTCATGCCGGACAGAAGGGAGCCGGAGGACGTTAAGACGCTGTGGCGGCGACCGCTGAAGGCCGAGTTTGAGCGCAATCCTGGCCCGGCCTGGTGGCGGCGGCGGTGCGGGCGATGCGCGGCGCGGGGCCTCAACTGCTCGTGGCTGGCCGACTACCGCAACATTGGCTTCAAGTGCCAGAACTGCGTCGACGAGCAGAGCAAAGAGAGATTCAAGGTGCCGGATGCCGTCGTCGAGTGCTTCGACGCCGAGGACGGGTACACGTTGTGCCTCCGGGAGATGGAAAACGTGCGGGACGATGGGAGCCTCGTGCTGCCGACCAAGATTGTGAACCGAAAGGTGCCGTGCTCGCTGTGTCGCCGCGGTGGCAGCCGTCAAACGTGTCGCGAATACGAAGGCTGGGCGACGTCGCATGCGTGCGATGCACACGTGGGGGTTGCCCTGCTACGACAGGCGACGAGCCGGTACACCCGTCGGGGGATGC